CTATGAGTACAACATTGTATAACTGTAATAATTCAACTGTAAACCTGAAAAATGTACAGCCAATTTTGCAAGAGATGCATCCTAGCTCAGAAAATTGTTATTGAATGTCAATGCTGATGTAGTAAAATGCTTCTTCTAAGTATGTGGTTACTGAATAAATAATTTTTTTAAAAAAAGGAATAAATTCTATGGAAAACTTTCAAAAAAAACTTAAAGCACTGTATTAAACAGGAAAGGAAAGAGTGGGCATCCTTTTCTTTTTCCTGGTTTTAGTGGAAATGCTTTGAGGTTTTCTCCACTTTTGCAGAAGCAAGCCAAACATAAGCTACAGGAGCATAAATCTGCAGTTAGCAGGTGCAACCCACAACATGCTGACCTATTCCCAAGATAACTGGGGTCCTGCTGACATGTGTTCCCATACCCTGGGCCAACTGCCTGATAATATCAGAGACTGGAGTCAGCCTAAACTTTAACATGGCGTAGCTGCGTAGCTATGGTCAAGAAGGTGCCATATCACAATGGAATACTTTGAGGATTATTCATAGCAGTTCTTCTTTGAAGTTGTAGTAGAATTCTGTGCTGTATCCAACTGGTCCTAGGATTTTTTTCAGTTAGGAGATCTTTTTCTTCAGACAGGGCCCCAGCCATCCTGGAACTCACTATTTAGAGCAGACTGCTCTTGATCTCACAAAGATCTGCCTGCCTCTGCCTCCTGAGTGCTGGGATTAAAGCATGCACCACCATGCCCAGTCAGTTAGGAGATTTTTAATTACTGATTCTATCTCATTGGTTGCTACCAGTCTATGTAAATTGTTTACTTCATCTTGGTTTAATTTTGGAAGGTCATACAATTCTAGCAAATTGTCCATTTCCTTTAGATTTTTCTATTTTAACATTCTCATTTAGAGTATTTCTATATAAAAGGAATATTGTCTCTATGTAGCCAATCTTCCTAGCAAATTTTGTTAATTATGCTGGAATTCTTGACTCTCAGCCACAGGTCCCTTCAGCTCTCTCTTTGGGACAGAGGGTTAAGAAACAATCTGTGCTGTGACTTGACAGCTCTCAATGTATGGTCCCTGGCTCCTCCATGCTCCTGGTCAGGTAGACGGCTGAACTAAATCATGTGATGTGAAACTTCCTGCTACTGAAAGGTTCTAAAAAGTAAGACTTTTCTTTTGTTCTGGGATTGGTTTGAGACTCGTCAAGGAGAGGGCTTGGGGATTTGCTCTGGAGCTGAAGGAAGCTCTCTGAAGTGGCTCCTCTGGGCTCCCTCAGCCCCCATAACCTCTCATGGTGGCTGTCTCTCTGTCACTCTCCCTATCTCTCTCTCTTATTCTTGCTCTTACTCAAGCTCCTCTCCAGGCTTTACAGAGAAGCTTCTCCTTCCTTTTAAGGCCCCATTATGTTTAGATATCTCCATATATTGTATTGTTTCTGTCTAATGCTTTCCCTCCCAACTCGAGGCCATGGCCTTGAGGCCCTTTCATTATAATAAACTCTATATTCCTGAAGGGAATTTGTGTGTCAACTTTCTTTTGCAAACCAATTGCTGCAGGTTTTTACCTCTTTTTTTTTTTTAACAATTGGAATGTGTCATTTTTTAAGTGTTTTTATTAGCATATATTAATTAATTATATAATTAATTATTATATGATGGGTTTCATTGTGACATTTTCAGACATGTATATGATATGTTTCATTCCTGTCAATACACACACTCTTACCCGCTCTTGTTCTGCCCCTATTCCCATTAATCCCCTTTCTCTTTTTTGTCTTTGTATTTGTGTGTTCCGGTGGGTTACATTAGGGTTGTTAACAAGGTGGGGAGAGAGGGTTCAGGAGCTGGAAGATTTCATTTTATCTTCACACAGAGCTGGTTAATGGGCCTGAGGAGATTCTGTCCCCGGGAGTTAGGGGCGGGATCTGTGCTCACAGGCCAATAAGGGCCAAGGCGTCCAATCAGGAACCACGGCCACGTCCCTCGTCCACCATCTTCCTTTCTGGTGGTACCATAGTTGCGACGCTGTCCGGCCAACTGAGATGTCTGTTCAGCATCTGTGAACTGTGGACCACTACCCAAAGCAGTCCTGAGTGCTCCAGCTACAGCCATGGTAAGTGTGGATGCGGGTGCCAACCGTCCAATCAGGAGCGCGGCGGGGACAGCGGAAGTTCCTCACCCGCCATCTTTCTTCCTGGCACCGCCGTTGCCGTGGTACTGGCCTGTCACCTGAGAGGAATCGGGTAGTTGAAAGAGTTCTGAGCACCTCGGCCTTGGTGACCTTGTGACCGCGGAGCCCGGAGTGCCTTGAGGTCGCAGGAACCCCGGGCGCAGACGTGGCGAGCGTCCGCGCGGGTGTGCCAGGTGGGCGGGCGGGGCTGCCCGCGAGACCCTCGGTCCCCGGCGTCCTCACCCGCCCGAGCCTCTGCTGAGCTGCGCCCCGGGTTCCCTGACTGCGGCGGCGGAGCGTCCAGGTGTCACCCAGCAATGGGGACCAAAGCCGGGCTCCACTCTGACCCCTGCAGCATCCCATGCTCTTAGGGATCTCGGGCGAAACCGGGATTCGTGTCTTCACCACAGAAAAGAATTTCCAGACATTTCAGTTTCAATATGAAAGTGTTGGAGGTTTAATAGGAAATATTTCTTGTGTTTGCAAGTTTACACCCCAGCTCGCGCGGAGGCCAGAGGAGGATGTCATGTGTCCTGCATTTTCCCCATGAGACAGTCTCGCCACTGAACCTGAAGCAAGGCAGGCAGCCAGCAAGCCCAGCCATGCCGTCCCTGTTCCCACAGCGCTGGGCTTAGGGGCTCCTGCACCACCATGTCTGGCTTTTACACGAGTACCTCGGATTTGAACTCCGGCCCTCACCGTTGCTCAGTGAGCCCCCTTACCGGTCTCTCCAGCCTGGCGACAGGTTTAACATAGACCTTAAGCACATGGGGGTGATAGGAAGATGCTCATGGAAAGAATAAGATATAACCAAGTGTGGATGTGGGTTTCTCAAGGGAGAGTCACAAGTAAATGGTTTACAGTGGTCTTTATAGGTCTTTATTGGCGCTCAAATAACATCTCTGGAGGTTGCTCTCTCTCTCTCTCTCTCTCTCTCTCTCTCTCTCTCTCACACACACACACACACACACACACACACACAGTGGGCTAACAACCATCCATAACTCCATTTCCAGGCGATCAGACACCACCTTCTGGCCTCTGCAGGCATTGCATGACATGGATGCACTTACATACATGCAGACAAACCACATATACATAAAATACATGAAATTTTTAAAATTTTAGAGAAGAAATAATATCAGTGACAGAAAATTATCTTTTCAAGCCCTACATCTTTACTTTTTATAGCCAAATTCAAAATGCACCATGAAAAAGAATGCTGACAAAGAATGTTATCTGCTGCTGGTGATTGTGTGAATTAATTCAGTCATTGTGAAAATCAGTTTGGAGTTTCCTCAAAACATTAAAAATGGGGGACTGGAGAGATGGCTCAGCAATTAAGAGCACTGACTGTTCTTGTGGAGGACTGGGGTTCAATTCCCAGCACCCACATGGCAGCTAACAACCATCAGTAACTGCAGTTCCAGGGAAATCCGATGCCTTCTTCTGCCTCGTTGGGCATTACACAACACGGTGTGCACTTACCTACATGCTGGCAGTACACTAATACACATAAAAATTTGTAAAGTAAATTTTTAAAATATTTTATTTATTATTATTTTATGTGTGTGACTGTTATGCCTGCATGTAGGTAAGTGCACCCATGTCATGCAATGCCCACGGAGGACAGAAGAGGGCATTTGTTATGGACAGTTGTTAGCTGCCATGTGGGTGCTTTGAACCTAGGTCTTCTGCAAGAATAGTCAGTGTTCTTAACCACTGAGCCATCTCTCTAGCCCCAAAAGTAAATTTTTTAAAGAAAAAAATTAAAAATGGAATTACCATATGATCCACTACTCTCCTGGGCATATACCCTTAGAACTGCATAACCTCCCATAGAGATATTTGCACATCCATATTTATTGCTGCTCCATTTACAGTAGCAAGGAATGGAACCAACCTAGATGCTCATCCACAGATGGATAATGAAAATGTAGTACAGAGACAAAATGGAATATCTTTCAAACATAAGGAAAAATGAAATAATTAAATTTTCAGGAAAACAGACGGCCTTAGAATGTATAATATTAAGTGAGGGCACCCAAACTCAGAAAAAAAATAAATAGCTGCATGTTCTCCCTCACGTGTGGATCCCAGCCTATAATGCATACTATTTTATACATATACAGCTGTGTGTTAGCATAAAATTTATAAAAGAGACCAATAAAGACTCCGATGGGGAAGAGGGAGAGGCAGGCGGAGGACACCGGTCGCGGTCGAAGAGAAAAAGCTAATGGCTTTTCTGCTTTCAACTCTGTCATAGTTTCTTTTTTCTTTTCGGGGTAAGTCCATAAAAAATGTAACTGATAGTGAAAGTGTAAAACCCTAAGCAAAACTGCATGACTCAGGGTGGCCACTCTAGCTGTGTAGAAGTTCACTGAGATGCATGGAGTCTGGGACCAGGCCAGTGTTTGAGAGGCTTAATTAATCACACATAACATAACTGTGTGATATTTTGTGAGTTCATTACAATAAATGGTTTTTTTTAAATGACCATAGCCAAAACTAAATAAAGGTAGGCTTTTTCTTACAGGAAATAAATGGTAAAAGGAATATAAAACAATGCAATCATTTAAAGGAACAACTGTTGGCTCTGCCAAGAACTCATTTAAATAATCCCTTTTGCTTCTGAAAACATGTGGCATTTAGTTTTCCACTACTTCAAAGAATTTAGACTTCTAAAATAAACAATAAAATCACTTTAGTTAATAATATCTAGTTATTATTACAAAGTGCTTCTTATGTCCTTGACTGGTTGCATTCTAGGATTTGAGGAGAGTATCTTTTTTTAGTATTTTGTTATTATTTTTATCTTATGTCTATACGTGTTTTGCACCCATGTGATGCAATGCCTGCAGAGGCCATAGGAAGGTATCAGATCCCCTGAAACTGGAGTTATGGACAGTTATTAGCCACCATGTGGGTGCTGGGAACAAAACCCGGGTCCTCTAGGAGAGTATCTTTGATTCTTTCTCCTAAGCCTTTCTCAGGCAACACCCAAACTTATGCTAATTAGGTGAGTCAGGTGCCATGCCTCTGTCCCTTTAGGATGAATACCAGTGATTAGAGCAAACAGGCTTTGGACTACATCTGCAGTGGAGACAGTGTGGTGGGGCTGGGCACTGCAGTTGTCAGAGCTGTGCTAAGTCTGGAGATTTTAAGAATTGAGTTGTGGGACTATCTCTTGATTTTGGAGGACTGATTTTTCAGAAGGCACCACCCATTTGACTAGTCAGAAATGATGACAGAAAAAGGCACTGGCTTTCCAAACTTTAAACTGACTCTAGGGAAGTGTTTGGTTTTTAGTTTGGGGCAGGATGTGAGGAGGTGGTGGGGGGGGTGTTAAGATTGTTTTATATGTATGAGTGTTTTGCCCTACATATATGTATATGCACCATATGCATGCCTGTTGCCCTCAGAGGCCAGAAAATGGAGTCAGATGCCCTAGGACTGAAGTTACAGGTAGTTGTGAGTTGCCATGTGGGTGCTGGGAACCTAACCTGGGTCTTCTGCAAGAGCAACAAGTGCTTTAACTACTGAGTCATCTCTCCAGATCCAAGTGTTTTTTGTTTGTTTGTTCATCTGTTTGGTTTTTGAGACAGGGTCTCACTATGAAGCCTGCCTACAAAGAACTCATCACATAGACCACACTGGTCTAAAACTCACAGACATCCACCTGCCTCTGCCTCCCAAGTGTTGGGGTTAAAGGTGAAAGCCACCATGCCCAGGTCAAATGCAAGTGTTTTTGTTAAAATGTTTGTAAGTCATAGTTATTTTTCCTCTTGATTCAACCTTTCTGCCTCCTGTAATAGGCATCCCAGGAACCCAAACATCATGTGCATTCCTACTCAGATATACAATCCAGCTGCCCCTTCCAAACTGATTCTGATTACTGACAGAATACACTCAAAGCTGTCCCAAGGGATGGGAAGCTGTAATTCCACTCTCAGGAAAAGTGGATGCTGGGGATGCCACCAAAGAGGTGGACACTGTGCACTGTGTCCAGTGTGATGTGCATACCTGTTCACTGTGCACTGTGTCCAGTGTGATGTGCATACCTGTTCACTGTGCACTGTGTCCAGTGTGATGTGCATACCTGTTCACTGTGCAGGTTCTGCCCTCCATGGGTAGGAGAATGTTGAAAGATGAGTCTCACATGATGATGCCAGATGTCCATACTCCCGTTAATAGTAAACAGGATAAAAATGATTCCAGCCAAGCCATGGTGGCACACACCTTTAACCCCAGCACTCAAGGGAGCAGAGGCAGGCGGATCTCTGTGAGTTCGAGGCCAGACTGGTCTACATAGAGAGTTCCAGGCCAGCTGGGGCTACAGGGAGACCCTGTCTTAAAAAGACAAAAAAAAAAAAAAAAGGCATTCCAGTGACAACTGAAGTAAAGATGAAATTGAGGGCAGTGACCCCCAGTAGGCAGGAGTCCTGGTCCAGGTTGTTCATACTGAACAGGAGACTGCAACTGTTCCACACACTTGCTCTTTCATCTTAGGGGGTGTGCTGGTTTGAATGAGAATGTTCCCCTTAGGCTCCAAGTGTTTGGGCATTTTGTCCCCAGTTGGTGGCATTGTTTTGGGAGGTCTTAGGAGGTGTGGCCATGCTGGAGGAAGCACATCAATGGGGGAGGGCTTAAAGAGTTCTTAAGCCTTCCCAGATCTCAAGTTGCTCTCTCACGTCCTATGCCTGCTTGAAGATGTGAGAGCTTAGCCACCTCTGCCACCATACCTCCCCACAGTAATGGACTCTTGCCCCTTGGAACCATAATCTCAAACTCTTCCTTCTATAAGTTGGTTTGGTCAGTGTTTCTATCACAGCAACAGAAAAGTAACTAATACAGGGGACTGCCTTTTTGAACTCCCGTATCAGTCTCTTCCCCAACAATCTTTCAGCACCAGAAAAGCGTAAGAATTTTTTTTCTTTCTCCATTTTTCATGTGTGTGGGAATGTGTGCATGTGTATGGGCACACTGGTGTGTATGTGGATGCATGTGAATGTGGAAGCCCAAGGTTGATGTCAAGAATGATCCTCAATACCTCTCCAACATTATTTACTGAGGCGGAGTAAATCAAACCCAGAGCTTGCTGGAATGGCTAGTGGTCCTATCCAGCTTGCGCTGGTGACTCCCTTCTCCACCTTCCAAGGCTAGAATTACAAGTAGGCTGCCATGCCCATCCAGTACTTATGTGACGTTTCTCCGTTGGCTCGGCCACAGGCACAAAGGCAGAGAGGCATCCAGCATGTAGTGCCTTTGGTACAACTGGTCCAAAACGCAGCAGTGCAAGTGACACCCCAAGTGTACTTAGAAATCCAGAGTGTCCCCAAGAGTTCAATATAGAAGAGGAAGCAGCAGCAGACAGTTGGTTCTGAAAAGGAGGCAATCACATAACTACCCTTCAGGAATGAGTTTTATTAGGGTAAAGGGCCTGGTCACCATGATTCAGCCTTGAGGTTGGGAGACCATTAGAAAGGAACTGAACATTACGGTGGAGAGCGGAAAAGAAAGCCTCGAAGAAAGCCCCAAATAAAGGAAACTATTTGGCTTGTATATCCTTTCAGGGAGTGACAGAAAACTCCACAGAATGCAGTGTAGTCTGGGATAGCCTATGTAACAAGGCGTACAGAGGAGCCAGGGATGAGGTAGAACCACTGAATTAGAGGTTATACAAACCACAGCACAGAACAGCTTCTTTACTGGCTGTCCCAGAGGGAAAACTGCAGGAAGGTGTGGTCTGATTTCTTCTGGTTGTGGGATCCAACCTCATGGAATATCCAGCATCTGAAGGGCAGTCCTATGAGCTAACACTCAGGGTGGGTATAGGACACCCAGGATATTCAAGTATCCATGAGGTGTTCTCTAGCCCTGCCCAGGTTCTCACAGATGCTCTCTTCATGAGCCTCTGTCTCATCACTGCTGTCAATGATGTCACATGACTCTCAACCCCAGAAGAGCTTCCTCTTCAGAAACCTGGGAGGCTTCCAAGCCACAAAGAGATTCTACTTCCTGCTGAACAGCATTGGCCACAGCTTTCTTGGCCCATCTGGACCTCACAACTGTGGGACTTGTTAGCATAATCCACCATGGTCACTCGCCCCAAGCAGGCATCATGGGTCTCCTCCTCCCTTGAGCATGACAACCATGTCAAGGAGAGGCCACCTCATTGGCCGGAACCCCAGCCATGTGTCAGGCCAGAGAGCCAGTTCCTGGAACCACAGGCCAATTTCACTCAGCTCAGTGGCCATCCTTCCTGCATCTAAGGCCACTGATCTCCTTGACTTTCGCTCTCTCCTGTCTCTGTCTCTCTCTGTCTCTGCCTCTCTCTCCCCCCTCTCCCTCTCCCTCCCTCCCTCTTTCCTTTCCCTCTCCATCTCTGAGTTCTGTTTCATCATGAACCTACTTACCATTTGTTCACTCACCTGTTGAAAACTGTATTCCTTTAATTCAGTCTATTTTCCTTTCTATTCATAGGATAATGTCCTGAGCATTATAAACCCATAATCTTTTTTAAACAGGGTCTCCCTGTTGCCCCAGCTGGCCTTGAACTCACAGAGATCTGCCTTCCTCTGTGTCCCAAGGGCTGGGACTAAAGTGTGCAACACCACGCCCCACTTCGTCCGTAATCTTTCATGTGTGCTAGGCAAACCTTACTTTCCAAATCAGATCTTAAGCATTGTTAGAGATTTGTTATCCCTAGTAGATCCAGTTAATTAGTTTTTGCTGATTAAAGGTCTAATTTTGCTAATTTAAGGAATCATATAGCCATGTATGAGAAGTGACAGCTTAGTGACAGAGTTCTTTTTTTAAAAAAAATATTTTATTTATTATTTTTATTTTATGTATATGCATGTATTACCTGCACGTAGGTAATTGCACTCATGTCCTGCAATGCCCACAGAGGTCAGAAGAGGCTGTTGGATCCCCTGGGACTGGAGTTACAGACAGTTGTTAGCTGCCATGTGGGTGCTGGGATTCGAACCCAGGTCTTCTGCAAGAATAGTCAGTGTTCTTAACTGCTGAGCCATCTCTCTAGCCCCATGACAGAATTCTTTCTAAGAGGCTGTGCCTTTCCTCTTTATTTAATTCTTTTATATTTCCCAATGAAATTTTTAAGTATTTCCCATTAGCATTGTGGAATATTCATTATCCTTTTAATTAAATGTTTAAGAGCTTTTTTGTGTTTATTTAAGGGGGAGGGTTTCAGATGTACCATAGCATACATGTGAAGGCCAGAGGATAACATGCAGGAGTCAGTTCTCTCCCGCCACCTTGTGAGTTCTGGAGATGAAATTCAAGTTGTCAGGCTTGGCTTCAAGAGACTTTTCCAACTGAGCCATCTCACCATTCCCCTTTAAAAAATGTTTAATTATCACATCATAATTGTGTATATTTATGGCATGCCAATGTGGCATTTCAGTACTAGTATGCAGTATGCAATTAGCAGATCAGAATCCCCATCATTTATATCACCTCACACAGATAGCATTCCACTATGTTGGAAACATCCAGATTCTTCTCTGGTACATCTTGACATATACGTTAAATTGTTGTCAATGATAATTACACTAGAGTGCTATATATAGAACACTTACCTTTCATTAATCATATGTAACATTTAATTCACTTTAATGTATTGGATACATGTTCAAGCTTCCAAACGTTTCTTAGTGTAATCAGAAAATGTTATACATTTCTCAAATAACAAGTTGTGACAACAGGCATGAAAATGTGTCTATTAGGGAAGTTCACTAAAGCTTGGTGCCCAAGATTTGGGGACTGATCAGGGACACTGTCTCTGTTACACATCTAAGAAGAGTGCAAATTTTGAGTGGAAACTAACAAGACAAATACCGTACAACATTTGAGCAGAGTGAACAGATAAATGAAGCTCCTCTTGGCAGCTCCATTGGTGAGACCCATTGTCGAGACACAGTAAAGGAGATGGAACTCTGTGAACATGTACTTTTAATGAACATGAAGCCACTGACTGTTGGCATTAACTATTTCATACACTGAGTAGTATGTAATAGTTTAATATATGCTACAGACCTGCTGTACTATGAAACAATAGAGATGACCCAGCAACACATCACAACTAGCCAGACAGACAGACGTCACTATTCTCTTATTTCTTCAAGGGAATAGTCAAATATAACATCAGAGAAGCTGTGTGATAGTGAACAGGATGTAACAATCTACTCACAGAATAAATGCCAGGGCTTCCCCAGCATCAAGAGGATTTCCTACCTGAGTATAGGTCTCAGTGCTGGCAGTCTCACACTTTTCCATGAAAACGTATGTGGGCTGTTTCAGGAGTCAGTGACCTTTGAGGATGTGGCTGTGAACTTCACCCTAGAGGAATGGACTTTGCTGAATCCTTCACAGGAGAATCTCTACAGAACTGTGATGAGGGAGACCATCAGGAACCTGCATGCTACAGGTAAGGGGACATCATTCCTTCACTTAGAGAACAACAGTCTTCTACTCTTCAGTACTGTTCAGAGATTTGGATGTGAAAATGGAATACTTGCATGGTGAATTTAGTGTGAATTTGGTAAGAACCTGAACCATAATTTTTCTCTAATTTTATAATAATTAATGGTTTTTTTGGGGTCCCATTTTTAGGACAGAAGTGGCGAGACCAGCACACTGAAGATGAGTACCAAGATCTTGGGAAAAATCTAAGGTAATTTGCACTCACAAGAAAAGATAGTGCTTCTTAAGAAATTTGGAATTACAGGAAATCTTTAAACAAGTAAACCCAGCTTCAAACTGATCTCTTTTCAAAAAGTTATCTTTAAATATATACACAGATTAAAAATCTATAGTCCAAAAATTTAATATGACCTTCTTAAGTATAAATATAATTGCACAAATAACACTTTCTGATATCTTAATGTAGAAAAACTTTGTTTCATACACAAAATTATTAAAAAGGTTGTATGATACTACCTTCAGGCTGTGCATATAAAGTATATGTAAAACACAAATAAATTAATGTTTTTGCTTAGGTCCTATCTCTTTTCTAAAATTTAATTTATTTATACTTTTATGATTATTTTGCCTGTGTGTATGGCTGTACCTGCCATATAAATGTAAGGAATGTGAGGAGACTCTCCATTCTCCTCAAAGCTTTCAGAAGCATGAATGAACTCATGCTGGAGAGAAACCCAATGAGTATAAACGGTGTGAAAAGGCCTTCAAGTATCTCAGTGCATGTGCATGCAGTACCTGTGGAAGCCAGAAGAGGGCATCCGATCCCATGGACCTGGACTTACAGATGGCTGTTAGCCATCATGTGGGTGCTGGGAACTAAACCTGGGTCCTCTGCAAGAGCAGTCAGTGCTCTTAACCACTGAGCCATCTCTCCAGCCCCATCTCTTATGTATGACCTAATATTTTGAAATCTAAATCTAAATAGTTAACTTGAAAAAAAAAGTATGGCAAAACTCCAGGTGACTATCACTGCTTTGGCTATTGGTAATTAAGCTATCTTTCTGAGCGTTCACTCTATTATTATACATAGTTTACACAGGAGATAAAACTTTACACTTTTCCTGATGATGTAAAACAGTAAGTTTCTACCTATAAATAAATATAATATAAATAATCAGTATAAAACCATTAAGAAGTAAACATTTTGTAATGTGCTGCACTTCTGTTACAGACATCAAGTGGTAGAGAGACTCTGTAAATGTGAAGAAGATAGTCAATGGAAAGAAATCTTCAGTGAGATTCCAGATCCTATTGTGAACCAGAAAACTCCTGGAGTAAAGCCGTGTGAAAGCCATGTGTGTGGAGAAGACATCTTTGGCCATTCATCCCTAAATATGTCCCTCAGAAGTCAGACTGGTCGCAAGACATCTGAGTACCAGGAATGTGGAAAGAAGCCATATAAATGTAAAGAATGTGAGGAGACTTTCTGTTCTCCCCAAAGCTTTCAGAAGCATGAACGACCTCATGCTGGAGAGAAACCCTATGAATGTAAACAGTGTGAAAAAGCCTTTAAGTATCTCAGTTCTCTTCAAAATCACAGAAAGATTCACACTAGGGAGAGAAACCATGAATGTAAGCAATGTGGGAAATCTTTCAAGAGACACAGTAATGTTCAAGTACATGAAAGAAGTCACACGGGTGAGAAACCCTATGTATGTAAGCAATGTGGAAAAGCTTATACTTCTTACAGTGCCCTTCGAGCACATGAAAGAAGTCACACAGGAGAGAAACCCTATGTATGTAAGCAATGTGGGAAAGCCTTCACTCAATCCAGTTACCTTCAAATACATAAAAGAAGTCACACAGGAGAGAAACCCTATGTATGTAAGCAATGTGGGAAAGCCTTTCCAGATTCCAGTCACCTGAAAATACATAAAAGAAGTCACACAGGAGAGAAACCCTATGTATGTAAGCAATGTGGGAAAGCCTTCACTCAATCCAGTTACCTCCACATACATCAAAGAACTCATACTGGAGAGAAACCTTATTTATGTAAGCAATGTGGGAAAGCCTTCACTCGTTCCAGTCACCTGCAAATACACAAAAGAACTCATACTGGAGAGAAACCCTACTTATGTAAGCAATGTGGGAAAGCCTTCACTCACTCCAGTTACCTTCAGATACATCAAAGAATTCACACAGGAGAGAGACCTTACATATGTGAGGGGTGTGGGAAAGCCTTTGCTCGTTCCAGTTGCCTTCACATACATGAAAGAACTCACAATGGAGAGAAACCTTATGAGTGTAAGAAATGTGGTAAAGCCTTCACTCTGTCCAGTTCCCTCCGAAGGCATGATGTAGTTCACACAGGAGAAAAACCATATGTTTGTAAGCACTGTGGGAAAGCCTTTGGTCGTTACAGTAGCATTCACAAACATGAAAAGACTCATAATGAAAAGAAACCCTGTTAGAATAATTTGGAAAACCCTAACGTGCTCCAATTACTTTCAAATATATGAAATAATTGACAATGAAGAGAAACGCTAGGTTTATATGCAATATGAGATGCCTTCAGTAATCCCAGTTCCCTTTGATACCGTGAAAGGACTCACACTGGAGAAAACCATGTGGACGTAATACAGGGAAGCTTTCAATCATTCTAGTTCCTTTCACAAACATGGGAAAATTCACACTAGAGAGAAAGCATAAATGTAGAATGTGGGAAGACTTCATTATCACAGGACCTTTCTAGTCTTCATGAATATGTGCAATCTATAGCATAAGAGAATGCTTTGTATCAATTTGCAAACGGAAAACAAAAACACTGTGGAGGAACGCTCCATAAATAGAAGAGATGAAAAAAATCTTCAGATGGCCCACAAGTAAAGAAATGAGTGTGAACGACACAGCAGTTTTCAGTTTTGCTGGGTAGAATGGTGGATGCTATCGTTCCTGCATTTGGGAAGCTCAATCCAGAGGATCAAGATTTTGAGTCCTGGGCTACATTGCCTGTCTGGGAAAATAGGAAATCCGCTTATTTGTTTTTCTCTATACTTCAGAATTTTATACAAATAGAAAAATGAAATATGGGGCTGGAGATGTGTCTCAGCAGTTGAGAGCACCATCTGCTCTTGCAGAGGACCAAGGTTCAATTCCCAGCACCCACATGGCAGCTAACAACTGTCCATAACTCCAGTTTCAGAGGATCCAACGCCATCTTATGACCTCTGCAGGCATTGCACAACATGGGTGTGCATGCAGGCAAGGAAATGAAATATGATCATATCTAGTATTCATTTCTCCCACCTTCAGATCCCTTCATGCCTCTCCCAATATGTCCCTGACCCAACTTCATGCTTTTTTTTTAACTCATTAAATCCAGTTACTACTGCCCATATGTGCATCAATGTGGGTCATCTTCTAGAGCTTTGGAAACTTACCAGTGTCTCTCCCTTTGAAAATAATGATTCTCCCTGGGGGGCTGGAGAGATGGCTCAGTATTTAAGAGTATTGACTGCTCTTGCAGAGGACTCAAGTTCAGTCCCCAACACCCACATAGTGGCTAACAACCATTTTTAACTCCGGTTCCAAGGCATCCAGTGCCCTCTTCTGGCCTCCGTGGGCATTGCATGCAGGTGGTACACATTATACATGCAGGCAAAACACTCATAAGCATAAAATAAAAGAAAGAAAAGAATGAGTCTCCCTTCAGCAACTGCTGTCAACTGCCAACAGCTCCTCAGTAAGTTGTGGAGCTTGGACGTCACCTACCCCATCAATGCTACAATTTTGACTTGTTTGGTCTTAGGTCCATAACCATAGCTGCTGCAAGTTCATGAGTGCACTATTCGTGTTCTATCCAGAAGATGGCATTTCATACCATTCTTCTTGTCCTCTGGCTCTTCCATTCTTTCCACCTACTAGAAAATTCAGCTTTAATATGTGTTCTCCCATGGAAATTCCTCTGATGGTAAAATCCTGTGAACATAAGTAATATGAAAGGTCTGAAACAGTAACATATAAATTTTGCACAATGTCTCATAAAATACCTGACCTGAACAAAAGTTACAATCATTGTATCAGTGGTACATGCTTAAAGTAGAATACTGGTCTTTCTGTCTCCCATTCCAACTCTTGAAACATTTTATGAAAACTCTGTAAGTGCTGTTTAAAGAAAACAGTGTCGGCGTCTTCAGAGAAACTGAAGAAGTCCAGCATATAAAGTCTTAGACTGTGGGGTGAGATAGAAGGAAAGGTTAAGCTTTTTTGATTTGCAACTCAAAAAAGCTGGCAGGCTTAGCAGTGAAGATCTGGAAGCATCATTAAGGAGATGATTATTCCATCACCTTAGCATGTCTTCAGGTGAATTAACTTTCTAGACAAGTGGTCTCCTGTCCAGGTTGACAGGCCCAGCTGAATTAACTCTTATGAAAGAGAAAGTAGAATGCAATGTTCTGATCTTTAGGGCAGATTAAAATGTCATCTTTCCATTAAAAACTACACATGGAACTTGGAATATGTGCTTTAGACCAATAGGAAGTAGCTTCCTTTTAACGGACCTCAACAAAGCCCTGCTACTTCCCATCTTCATATGGTATTTTAAATCTTATGAAGATTGTGATGCTTCCCTTTCTAGTGGTTACTAGGGAATAGAGAGGTGAAGTCCATCCTCAGTGACCTCCAAATCTGCTAATATCTGTCTACCTAAGTTAACAAGAGTATGTGTTATTGGTGGTGATTATTATAATCATGTGAGACAATAAAATTGATATATACCATGCCAGCTTCGCATGTGTAGGTTATTATATTTTATATACATATATTATCACTTTTTCATGGAAAAAATTGTATTTAGGTGGATGCCAACATAGGTCAGTAGTAAAGCCTCTTGCCCAGCACCACATGAAAGTATTATTACTGTTACATCAAAGACCCTCTAGCTGCCATTCTCTCTCCAGGAAATTAGGCCACACCTCCTGCAGTCTGTCACTTGAGACAAAGAACTGAGAGGCTGTAACTGTTAGAGCATTCAGGCCTCAGTAGAAAAGTTAAGACAGCCTCTATCAACCCACTACCAATCCCCCATCCCCCCAGCTCTCTCTAGGACCCAGAATTGATAAGAAAGAATGCTGGGAACTTAGCAGACCATTGAACAGTGCCTGGATCTGGCCTCCCCATGGCGAGTGCAGTAAGATTTCATAGTCGCATGGTGCCCAACCCCCTTATTGGGACCAAGTGAGGCCCCACAACTTCACCAGGACTAGACCTCTCTGTCCTGAAGTAAGGTAGGGACTCGGACCTTAGCAAACCACATGAGAGCGCCTAAATCCAGCCTTCATCTGGTGGTGAGCTTCCCCAAATCACGAGGTGCCTAACTCCCTGAATTGGAACCAAGTGAGGCCCCTCCACTTCACCAGGGCTTGACCTCTCTACCCTACAATAGGGGCTGAGGCCTTAGCAGACTGCCTGAGAGTTTCAAAATCAGGCCTCCCCTTAGCAAACTTCCCAAATTGTACTCTGAGTGCCAGCTAGTAGGGGTCCAGATATTGGAAGGAAGCCTGAGTGTACCTGACTGGAGCCTGACTTGCACTTCTGTGGGAGCAACTGAGTAGCTGGACTAAAGCCATCTGTTCCCTCCAATATAAAATCTGAGAGAAGCTGAAACCTAGACCAACTAGCTTTACATATCCAATAAGAAAACAACCAAGGCACTACAATAACACAAAGAGAAGCAGAATTCAACTGAACAAAGAAAAGTTTGAGTTTCATACCAGAATCACAAAAAAAGAAATCCCCATGCTAAAATCACAACTGAAAAATAATAATATGAAAAACCAAAACGGTATGTTCCCACCAAACTCCACCAGCCCTATAGAAGAATTCTACAATGAAAACCCCCTAGAGACAACCCATGACAAAGAATTTAAAAGAACAGTCATAAACATGATCAAGGAATTGAACAAATATAAAGAACGCACAAACGAACAAATCAAAGAACTAAAAGAAGATAGGGATAAACTTCTGGCTTGTTTCACAAAAAAGAAATGAAGAAAACTCAAGCTCAAATGAAATCAAGAAGGAAGTGAAACACTCAATAAGCCAATTTGAAACAACAGGAGAAAGCCTCACCAATAGAATGAATAAAATGGAAAACACAAAATCAAGACTGTATGATAAAGTAGAAGAATTGGACTGCTCAAGCAAAGATTATGAAAAAAATTTTTTAAAAAACACAGGAATGGAATATGCAGGAAATGTGGGACACCATGAAAAGAACAAATCTATGCATCATAGATATAGAGGTGGGAGAAGAATTTCAGGTTAATGGTATTGACCAGATCTTAAACAGTATTGTAGAAGAGAATTTCCCAAAATTAAGGAAAGACATCCCCATACAAATACAAGAAACACATAGAACACAAAATAGACAGGACCAGAAAAGAAACTCCCAAAGGCATATCATAATAAAAACACTAAATGTACAGAACAAAGAGAGAATACTGAAAGCTCTGAAAGAAAAACAACAATTCACATATAAATAGGGGACTTCACTACCCCATTGTCTCCATTAAACAGGTCAACCAGACAAAGAATAAACAGAGCCATCTGAATGAAATGATACCATACATCAAATGGACCTAACAGACACCTACCAAATATCCCACCCAAGCGCCAAAGAATACACTTACACTTTCTTTTTTTTTTTTTTTTTTTTTTTTTTTTTTAAAAAAAAAAAAAAAAAAAAAAAAAAAAAGAAACTCACTATATAGACCAGGTTGGCCTTGAACTCACAGAGGTCCACCTGCCTCTGCCTCCCAAGTGCTGGGATTAAAGGCATGTGCCACCATGCCCAGCAAGAACACACTTTCTATGCAGAAAGTTCTCCATGGAACTTCCTCAAAAATTGACCACACATTGGAGCACAAAACCTTAACAAATAATAATAATAATAATTCCATGCATTCTATCAGACCAGAACACAATAAAACTAAAACCAACACTGGAAGAAGCCCTAGTAACTATATGAACTCATGAAAATTAAACAACACACTCCTGAAGGATTAGTGGGTCAAAGGAGAAATTAAGAAACAAAGTATTCCTGGAAATAAATGAAAAGAACAATACAACAGAACAAAAACACTGGGACCCTTTAAAAGCAGTCCTAAGAGAGAAGTTTATAGCTCTAAGTGCCTACATTAAAAATTCAGAAAGAGCACAAATAAATGCTTTAACATTACAACTCAAAACTCTGGAAAAGCAAGAACAAATGAAACTCAAACCCAGAAGACAAGAAGAAATAAAATCAGAGCAGGAATTAATAAAATAGAAGCAAAGAAACAATACAGAGAATCAATGAATCTAAGAACAGGGACTTGGAAAACCTAAACAAGATAGACCTTTAACCAAAAGAAAAGAAAGAGAGAGAGAGAGAGAGAGAGAGAGAAAGAGAGAGAGTAAATCCAAATCAACAAAATCAGAGATGTGTGCTGGATAGATGGCTCAGTGGTTAAGGGCACTGGATGGACCTGGGTTCTATTCCTAGTACCCACATGGTGGCTAACAAGTATAACTCCAGTTCTAGGGGATCCAACATACTCCTCAAACCTCAGAGTGCATTACACAACATGGGTGCACTTCCATACATGCAGGCAATACACTCATACACATAAAATAAAAATAAAATATTTTTTAAAAATCAGAGATTAAAGAGGAAACATCTACAAGAAATTTAAAGATCTGCAACCAATACTACTTAAATTATTCAAAAAGATAGAAACAGAGGGAGAACTCCCAAGTTCTTTCTATGAAGCCAGCATTACTCTAATACTAAAACAAGGTAAAGACATAATCAAAAAAGAAAATTATAGACCCATATCCTTAATGAACATAGAAATAATGAACATGGAAATATTCTCAAAAAATACTTGCAAACTGTGTACAGGTGCACATAAAAAAGATCATCCACCATGATCAAGTAGGCTTTATTCCAGAGCTGCAGGGATGGTTCAATATACACAAGCCATAAACATCATAAATCTTATAAATGAACTCAAAGACAAAAACCACATCATATCTCAATAGGTCTTTGACAGGATTCAGTATGCATTCATGATAGAAGTCCTACAGGGAATTGGACTGGAGGAAACATACCCCAACA